CAGCCAGCATGGGGAATTCTGGGAGTTGAAGTCCACACCTCTTCAAGTTGCCAAGGTTGAGAAACACTGATCTAGAAGCATCCTCAGCTAAGCCCTCAGTCTTGGGTTCTAAGTTCTAATCTTCCCTTAGGCCAGTCCCTCTCTCTTGGCCCAATCCACTTGGAAGGGTGATGGTGGTGGTGGTGAAAACAGGAGGCAGGACCATTAGGTATGCATGTCACTTTGAGTTGATCAAAATAAAAGCAGGATAATCATCTAATAAATGAATAAATATGATGCAGACCTTTATAGGACCTCATAGCACATGTGCCAGAAATCTCCCAGACCACCTTCTGGAGACAACCATGCAGGGTTGGGGGAGGGCAGTTCAAAATATTCAAGCTGGCAGCCACCACAATGTGATCAAAGCCATCTTGACTGTATTGATCCCTTCCACAGACACCTTTTCGGGGATGAGTGGAAGCCCTCCAAAAGTGTGTGTCACAAATCCATATCTTGTGCCCACAAGACCTCCAGGAGGTCTTGGTGGTAGATGATCTCAGAAGATCTCTGAAGAATCATCAAGATCAGATTCACGCTGCCTCTCCTGGAGAAGATCATCCTCCAAGGAGATCAAGGCAGGTGGCCTAAACTCTAACTGAAATGGATCCAGAGGTCCTTCTCATCCAAGACCACTTGGATCTGCTCAGCCACCCCTTGCTGGTGCACCATCCATATTCCCAATGCCAGTCATAAGTTTAGAGACTTTGCTCATGTTCACACAACATGCTTAACCAAGTCAGGTACTACAAGCCAAGCGACTGCATTCACACAACATGCTATGCTTGGTTGAGGAGGGTGTTCAAAAAAGTCAAGATGGCAGCTGTGATTGCATGATCAAAGCAATCACCATGGATGCTCCTGGCTAGGTAGGTTAGTTTAATGTTAGTTTCTTTTTTCTTTCAGCTGAACAAATGCAAACCCACTCCATCTGGCTAATTTAAGATTCAGTAAACTGCGTGACGTCAGAAAATGAGTTAATCCGGGTTAAGGATGCTGTGTGAATCCAGCCTTTGTACAGTATTTTATTGGTTTAAGAAACCCCCAAGCCTTGCATCCTAGGAAAACGGCATCTGATCTCTTGACCATGTTGATTAAACCTTGCAGGAGACTGGGCAAGGAGAAAAAGAGAGAAGAAAAATAGATAAATTTAGGTGGTGCCAAAGATAGTCCTGTCATAACATTTCCTTCCCATCCCCAAAAAACATACATCTGTCTGGCATCTCAGCTGTGACGTTACCAGCCTGGATCGTTTCATTCCAACAAGAATCTGTCTTAATAAAAAGCTCGGTCTCTTTGGATTTACGTTTTAAATCCATTAACATATCATTTCCTCTCTGGGTCTCTCCACCCCCCCATACATATATATGAATGAAAAATCCAAGGGTGGGGGAAGAGAAGAAAGGAGGGGAGGTGTTTCCATAGAGAATACAAAAGGAGCATATTGACAGTTTCTTTAAAAACAATCAAGGGGAAGGAAGAGAAGCGAAGTTCAGATCACCTGCGATGCCTCCTACCTCGCCCTAAAAGTCCGGCTTCATCTGCCAGCGAGAGCAGACGCACCTTGGCTCCCCAAGACAGGCTCAGGTACGTGGATTTTGCTCACCTGCTTTTCTAGGGAAAATGAACCAGGGAACTTTGCCAAAAAAAAAAAAAAAAAAATAGAAGAAGAAGGAGGTAAGGAAGGTGTAGAAGTGAAATGACCTGGAAGCAAATGTGAACAGAGAAGGTCAGAAGAATTCCAGCTCACCTTCTCTGGGCTCCAGAGTTGCAAGACCGACGGACGGACGGACAGGGCTTTGCTTGCCCTGTGCAGATGTGGACTTTGCTTTGCAATATTCATCTTCGGGTTAATCTTCTGAAATCGACACGCAGTGTGGCGGGAGGGACAGAGAAGAGTTTCAAAGATGCTTCCGAAATTGCCTGGAAGGAACTCCTGGGGTGAACCCTGTTTTGCCAAACTAAGGAGGTGCGAGGGGAAGGTGGGGGGGGAAGAAATTTATTCTGAATTTGTTATGCTTAGATTGGGCCAGAACATATTGTCAGTCTCTGAAGACAATATTCAAAGCGGTGGGTCGAAAGGACAGGTTAGACCTAGATTAGGAAAGATTAGAAAGAGCATCCTTGAACCCACTTCACGGGCATGTTTTCCTGCCCAAACCCGGTTTCAAACTCGTTGCAAGGAGAAGTTTGCTCCATAGCCGTGTTGCTAGATTGTGCTTCCTCTACATTCAAAGAGTTTTGCGACAGCATCAGAAATGGTTTGGGAAGCATGATGTCTCCTCCTTTTTTCCCCTAAGATGTTTTTGGTCCTTTAAATGAGTTTTAAGAATCAAGTCAAGACTGGCATCTTAAAGGAACCTCTCTGTGGGCATGCACAGGTTATTATTTTTTCAAGGTGGCTGAAGAAGGTGGTCTGAAAGGCTGCTGTAAAACAGGAACTCTGTTGGAGATTTGAGTTCGGCAGGATCCTTCTTAGACATGCTCCTGAGCATCTCCCGAGCGCTGAAAGAAGACAGAGCCATTAAGCAGTAGAAGGTTCGTTAAAGAGACAAACGCTGCTAATATAGTTGGCTGGGCGTAGCTCAGCCGTCAACGAACGCTAGCAACATTTGCTAGATTGCGAGCAGAAGCTAGGTTTATTAAGACATCTATAGGATAGGAAAGCTGGCTTCTGCCTAAAATAGAGGCACAAAAAAAGAGAGAGCTGGCTAAACACAGAGTCTCTGTTAACTACAACAGGCCAGGAGAGACAGACAGACGGACAGACATGGGGACAGTTTGTCCGACGATCCTCCGGCTTTCTCTTTCATGACATTTGCCCGACAGGTTAAAACGGCTGGTAGGTGCAAAGACTTGATCCCCCGGCCAACTCCCTCCCTGGCCAGCCTGCAAAGGGACATGCCAGGGTCTGCTTTGATGAAGGTGGGACTCCATCAGCTTAGGAAGAAGCGGTGGCTGCATTTCTGCTTTCCCTGGTCTGCCCCCCCC